TACCTCGGCCCATTGACACTTCGGCTCCCACGGCTCGGCCCAAATTTAAAGACACCTCGGCTCACATAAAAGACTGCTCGGCCCAAACAAAAATATATCATTTTAATTAAACATATTTATTATTTATGCTGTTATATATCTATGAAATGCAAAAGAAAATTAATTTGATACATTTGCAATCTTCCAAGACGGCAATATTTGACGGTAATTAAAGAAAGACAATGCATTAGTAACTTGATTATATAAATGCTAATCATTAAACAAACAAGAACTGAAGAAGACGCAGTGCAATACCTTTAAAGTCTCGATCGCGTGTCATAGGGGAGTGTTAACTGTGGGGAGTTAATTACGAGAAGCTAATGAAAAGTTCCTGTAAGAAACCATTGTTGATATTTTATTGAATTGATTTGAAAAAAATATGAGTTTTTTAAATTAAACAGTAAAAAATATATATACCAAAAATAAACAAATCAATAAATCTTGTGACATAAACTTCTGTGTAGACCTATTGGTTTACACATAATTATCAGTAAATTCAATGGTACAATGCACTGCAGTAGACAATATTTTTGTCAGTCAGTCGGGACAGGGCAATCAAAACTTTTTAAAAATGGCTTATAACTATTAATAATGTATAATGTTGCATTGTAATAAACAACAAAGTTAATAAATAAATAGACCTTTTACCTCCCAATCAACGGATTGTAATTTGATGTTGTGCTGTGGTTTGTTAGAAAATACTGAAATACTGAAATTATCGTATATTTATAGTAAACGTATAGTGATTATATATACATAGTATACATTTACATTACCATAGGAAATACAAAAAATAAAAATAAAAAATTAAACTAATTTAAACAAACTAAATTTTAATTTTATTCCTTGGGCCGAGCAGTCTTCAGTATGAGCCGAGGTGTCAATGATTTTGAGCCGACCTGTCAGGGCCGAGGTGTCAACCAGCACGGGCCGAGGTGTCGTTGGGCCGAGTAGTCTGTCTACCGTGGGATATATGTGATTGGGAAGTAGTAAATATTCTCCTAATTCACGTTGTTCATATAAATCAAACAGCAAATGATTTTATAAATGCCCCTGGATCAAAAGATCCCAGGTATATTGTTTTTGTCCTGTTAGTCTGTCTGTTGTCAACTTTAAGTACCCAGCCCAATAAACTATTGAGTGTTTGGGGCTAAGACTTTCATATTTCACAGATGTATTCCTTGTGAGAAGACCTTTCCATGAGTACCACCAAATTTACCTCTTGACCTTGGAGTTTGACCTACTTTTACAAAAAAAGACCATGCTTTATAACCTTGACCATAACTTTTGAACAGTTGGAGTTAGGGCTTTCATCTTACACATGTGTTTAAAAACTTGAACCTTGGTCATAACTTTTGAACATTTAGATATAGGGCTTTTCATATTTCACAGATGTATTCCTTGTAACAAGACCTTCCTTTGGGTACCAACACTTGACCTTTTGACATTGACCTTTGAAGAGAGAATTCAACCCTTGCCATAAGCTGCCATACAGGGGCATCAGTGTTTCACAAACACATCTTGTTTTTTGTGGGGGTTATTTAACTTATTTTTAAAGCCCTTTTATGGCACTTGTTTAAATCCTCTTGTTATTTGAGTTCTGCTAAAGAAAATTCGATCTGTTGCAGAAGGGATAGTTTCGTTATAAAAAAAAAAAAAAGCTGGTACTAAGGTTGCTCAATTAATATATTTATTTTCTGGTATATTGACACCGGTGATAAAAAATATTGTATTGCAATACATTTTTCAGTGCAAATATGCAAAAAATTCTTGCGCTGATGATTTCTAAGGTAAAGATGAATTTTAAGAAGTCAAAAAGGTTTTCAATCATGCCAAACAGCAACCTGTGGCCACTGTTGTTGAATTTCATTGCAAAAGTACAGTGAAATCAACAGGACTTGTTTTGTTACAATGTATATGTAACAGTTACATAAACTCTGCTCATAAATGGAGGTTAATGATTAAAATAAGATTAAATTATTTAACTGTTATTGAAATGTTTGCAATACACTTGAAAATATTGCAGTATATCGCGATGTGAATTTACCAGCTAAGGGAAAAATTGAAGATGAAAATGAAAATTTCATATGAAAGTGACTTGTGTATTGCAGGAATTGTGCTTTTAGTCTCCTTTTAGCATGATTTTATGATGACGCATTTCTTTCCCCGTTTAAAGGATGACTCTCCATCAGTAATGTAGACCCTGGTGTAGATGTATGACCTTCATAACTGTGACCAGGGCACCAGCTGGTCATTACAGGCTTTTATTTTGTTTCTACTGCTGAGAGATGTGACGGCCTGGCCCACTGACCATCATTTGACCTCTGACGGGAGTCTGTAGTTGTTTTTGTTTGATTAGGGAAGTCATGGTAATGGTCCTTGTCATAGGGATACTGAATACACAACTTTTGAAGTGCCCTGTACTGTCACCAGGACGCTGTATACAGTAAACTGTCGCGGAAGAGCCCCTGTTGTGTTTTACCTAATACAGGTGGTCAGTTTCGCCATTTTAGCAGATTAGTAGAATTCTTATCACAACTTTGTTCTGTTAGAAGTCTGTTTCATCATATCTAGTGTTATCATGTGTGTATGTTGATCTGTGTGTTGTATCAGTGTTGTGTTAATTATTTTACAAGGAGGCTTTGAAAATGATAGTACATTTAAATCAAAATTATGAAATTTTTTTTTCATGTGTTTGGCTTAGTAAAAAATCATGGAGGCAGCATAATCAATTTTTCTAATTTATATCTCATGTAATACCGTACTACTTTTTCGTAACTGTATAACAGATCAACATAGAGATACTGAAAAAATTCTTATCGGACATACAGGCCAGTGTCTGTACGTGTCTCTGATATAACCATTTATTTCTGCTGACAAAGACTGGAAAGGAGTTTGTATTTTAAGAACGAATCATTATTTTTCTGTTGTGTAAGTTTGAAGGTGTACTTCAACAGTCAAATTTTGACAGTGTCTGAAAGATGCTGGATTACATTTCTGATTGCGGGCTTCGATAAACCACAAGTCACATACCTCGGAGAAAGCTTTACACTGGCGGTCTTTTCCATGTTTTGTTAACACTTTTCTCTGAATTGTTACAAATTGCTGAAAAATTAACAGAGCATTGACTTTATGTATTTGAGTGTACATATGAGATGGCTTTGAGCAAGTGGAATCAAATATCAAAGATGAAATGGAAGTCAAACACGGAGAAGTATAATGGAAAAGGTGAAATTGATATTTGTGATGCATTGAGTTATCATGGCAGAAAAAAATATGATTAATTGTTGAGCATCACACAAAGCCATTGATAAGGGCATGGAATGGAAAAGGAAAAAAAAAGTCCCCTAAAAAAACACTAGAGACTGTAGCTTTTGTCAATTGAAATTAAGATTTTTCTTGCCAGAGGTGAATGCCCTATTTATAAAGTTGATGTAGTAAATTAGGGACCCTCGTAGTATTTTAGAGTGCTTAATTATAAGTGTAAGCTGTATATATTAAAAAAGTGCACCTGCTACCACTGTCATTAAGGTTAAATATTAAACATCCCACAGGCTCGTTTTGTGGGTCATGACTAAATGTTTAGGGGACTTGGGTCAATTTGATAGAAATATTGTTCGTCTGTTGGGAGCATTTCTCTTTTTAGATATCTAAAAAAAAAAAAAAAAAAAAAGAAGTGATTTCAGTGGTATTGGGCTTTTGTCTGAAAATAAGATGGTGAATATTATCATCACAGTACATTTATGTGTATACGGAGATGATTAGAGAGCATCTCTGTAAATAGACTTGACGGATAACACTTTGCACTCCATAAAAGGGAAATATGTTCATTAAAAACATTTCTTTTCCTGAATAATCGATACAACATAAGCCCTGCAAAATATCTTTGACGTCATTTTCAAACAAGACTTTTATATATATATATCAATTTCTAATCAAGAACGGCATCTGTGTTAAAAAAAAAAAAAACAGCCCTATATTCTTCCGCATTTATAAGCTCCGGATTGATGCAAGCAGAGTCTAATTGATTGGCTGACATAGGCAAGGTAGAATGCATTAGCTGGAAATGAATGATTATATTTCGTATTAAAGAATGACAGATATATCTATATTTATTATATATTTGCTGATCAAATCATTTTCCAACACAAGTCAAGATTTTTTTAGCTCACCTGAGCTGTCAGAGCTCAAGCACAGAGTTGTCTTAATTTTTTAATCTCTGTCAGACATATGGTGTGACGAAGTCTGATGTTCCATCAGACCCAACAAAGTTAAATATATCTTATATTGAACAGTAAAAAAAAGTGAACTGCAGCAAAATGTCTTTTATTAGATTAGAGAGTTCATAATAAGCATAAATTAATAAATGATTTATATATCAATTAACCTTCACAAATTTGATCATCCCCCATATCGAAAATAAATATAAAAATAATAGATTAAAATAATACAAAAATAATACAAAAAAAGTATATTATTAATGACCAAATTTGGAACCCTTTTTATCTTGGTTCCAAATTAGGTCAAAAATAATACACTTTCTTAGAAATGAAACACAAAAAAATATATTTTTAATATACTTTATTTCTCAGTAAAAATACAAAAATAATACACTTGATGTATTTTTTCTGTATTATTTGGAGCACCTTGAAAAAAAAAGATAGGAAAATAATACAAAATGTATTAATTTTGTATCAGTCTATTATTTCTGTATTATTTGGAGCACCTTGAAAAAAATAGGAAAATAATACAAAATGTATTAATTTTGTATCAGTCTATTATTTCTGTATTATTTGGAGCACCTTGAAAAAAAAAATAGGAAAATAATACAAAATGTATTAATTTTGTATCAGTCTATTATTTCTGTATTATTTGGAGCACCTTGAAAAAAAAAAAAATAGGAAAATAATACAAAATGTATTAATTTTGTATCAGTCTATTATTTCTGTATTATTTGGAGCACCTTGAAAATTAAAATAGGAAAATAATACAAAATGTATTAATTTTGTATCAGTCTATTATTTCTGTATTATTTGGAGCACCTTGAAAAAAAAAAATAGGAAAATAATACAAAATGTATTAATTTTGTATCAGTCTATTATTTCTGTATTAAAATCGCATTTAAAACAAAAAAATCTAAAAATAAAACATTCTGAAAAATACAAAAAAAAATACATTTAGGAGTTCAAAAAAGGTACAAGAATGATAGACAAAAAGTACATAAAAAAGCTTTAAATAATACAAAGCAGTGCCTAGAAAAGTACTAAAAACGTGAAAAACTTTTTCTTAAATGCAGCTTTCAATCAGATTTTAAAGAGAAATGTCTTTAGATTACTGATTTAGTTACTTTTTGTGCAATTATCTTGATCTTTTCTGTCTTACATACAGTATTCACTCTTCAATTGTCCTCATTTCTAAGTCATGTTTTATCAATCTTATTGTCTTTGTAAATTGTACATTTATAATGAGATATGAATTCAAAAGTCTAGATCTTCTCTCTGCTTTGGGGTTTCTTTTGCACAGCACTTTACTTTGTTGAAGAAGTACATCTCCAGTTTTCTCACTGTCATCCTGCTTGGTCCTGCATAATCTACAAAATAGAATATCAAAATGTACCGAGGTGTATCAAAATTAGATGCACAGACACACACAAAAAGAAATCTTCACATGATTAGCTGATATTGTCAATGTTACACACCTGTAATGCCTCAAGGGGTAGGGTGGGAGGGTGGGTGGGTGTCCTATTCCTGTATAACTAATCAGCTTTTCTTCTATGGCTCTGCAGAGGCACTCAAACTGTAAAAGTAATGATGCTGATAAATGTTTTGCAGAACAGGTAGAAATACAGAGCATTAAAAAATGAAAATATAAAACTGCCAATACACCTGATTGGAATTTTTCATGGCAAAATATTCTACAAATTGAGCCATTATCCCCCCCTTTTATTGGGGGGGGGGGGGGGTCATTTGATTTGAAATCTTAAAGTGATATTGGGCAAGGGAAATACAGATCATCATATATTGATATAAAAAATAATTAGTTTGTGCCAAAAAAAATCTTTCTTATCACCTTCTTCTCAAGTCATTTTTGAAATAAATTATAAGTATGCTAAACCATAAATCCATGAAGTTTAGTTGCAATGATTACCCCCCCCCCCCCTTCACATTTCAAAATTTGAATGGTTGTATGCCAAGATGATTTTATCTGTTATTATTCCATGTTTAGGCCTGAGGGATAGGGTGAAATTAATTTTTAAGTCATTTTTGGTCCATGTAAAGAATATCATTTGCCATTGAAAGCCCGTAATTATCCATACAATTCAAGATAAAAAGTAGCATTACAAAACTCTCTTTCGCCACAAATCCAATATATCTGCATTTAATTTGACCTACTATAAGTCGTTTATAAAAGATAACATTTATTAATCTACATTTCACATTTTAAAAATTGAAACTACTGTGCTATTTTATGTAAATTCTTACCGCATATGGCGTTGTTTACACCAGGAAAGCCAGGGCATGATGCTTGAAAAACGCCAACCTCCTTCCGTTTTCGCTTTTCTTTGTTTATAAATGTGATACATGCTAACATGCTGTAGCTAAACATCTATTTTCTACCAATTTCATCGGCGAATATTAGCTAAATTTTATTAAACATCACCAACTCTCTCAATTCGTTTCGTCGATCTATTTTTCAAAATGGCGTGGGTAAATTACCGTTAACCAATCAGAGAAAAGCAAAGAAAAATTTTAAAATCTGACCAATCAAATAGCTCCTTATTTACGAAGATTGCCGATTTTTAAATATAAAATATATTTAACAGTCTAAGGAAATTTTACTTATGTACGAAGTCTAATAAGTAAGATGGAATCAATTTATTAGGAATCATTTCTTATAATCGTTATTTTTGTTTTTAAGAAATTTTCCGATTACAGATGAGAAAGATTTCTGGTCAGCCATATTGTTTTCTTTTTGGTTTTTTAATCACTATTATACAAGTTGACCCGTATAATAGACCATAAAGTTCAAGAAGAAGGGTCAATTTAGTGTTAAATCTAAAGCAAAATAGCAAGGCACAGAGCCATGCCCCCTTTTCTCGGCGCCATGTCCTATTTTCCTAACAAAAAATTAATAAATATTCCCAGTGTAGGCAATATTCCTTAGCTGTTCTGTTTATTCAGTGCATACTGATAATCTCTTGTTTACATAACGCAACCAAGTGTGAATTCACGACAGGAAATCACTTCACGCTTGAACACAAGCACACAGCCACCTGGCTAATTAACATGCCTCAGGCTGTCAGGGTAGAAGATTTAACTTGAGAAACTGTCATTTGATTGCATTGATTATGCAAGAATTAGCCCAAGATCAAAGATAATTAACTTGTAAATTATTAACTAATTAAAATCAGGATCGTTTTTTTTTTAAACTGAGAGTAGAATTAAACACAGAGTTGAAGAAAAACTGATATTTTATCTGAATAAAAACAACTTACATTACAACTACTAGAATAATTAAATTGACGGTACTACTACACAAATAACACAGTCCAAGCAGGTTAGAAAAATTAATACTTCCAAACTTTAATAATTTTTGCACATGTTTCAGCCAACTTTCTCTAGTGTAAATATCTAAACACACTGACTACTTGCACATCCCTTTCTAGACTTAAACATTGTCAGCTCATTTCTTGAAAGTTATTTAGGATAATTTGAATATGATTCCTTCTCTGAGTGAAAAAAATGCACATATATACTAAAATCTGAAGAAAACATCGTATGCATGGTAATAGCTAGTTGGGACTTTCCATGTGCACAGGTAAATCACGTAATTTCTGAATTGTAGTATGATGCAATCATTTGTTAGCCTGCAAGACCACCTGTTGTGTGATAGATGTAAACATGTGAAAGATGTAAACCCGCTGAAAAGTCAATGTAAACCCGCTGTAAAATCTTCATGCCCAAGACGGAAATATTTCTCTGGATTACCACTGATTGAGATTAACATAAATTTTAGTACCAATTAATTATTTAAGTTCTATATAATTGGATACCAAGATTCCTGAAAAAAATATATAATAAAATTTTTCTAAGTACCGGGTATGCTATAAACTTATAAAAAAAAGCAGCAGACATTTTGCAAGGAATTTCTCTAAAATTTATAAAGTTCATAGAGACAAATGTAAATAGAAAATATGTCTAAATTTACCCCCCCCCCCCCTAACAACAAAAAGAAATAGAGACCAAATATATGGAATTTTCTGTAAATGTACTAAAATCAAATTTGATACAAAAAATACTGACTGTCTTTCTGTAAAATTACCAAGTCCAAATTTAATATAAAAATAATACAGTCTAACTGTAAGGTCTTTTCTATAAATTTACAAAGTCCAAATTTAATATAAAAATAATACAGACAAACTCTGTAAAATTACTAAGTCTAAATTTGATATAAAAATAATACAGACAAACTGTCTGTAAAATTATTAAGTCCAAATTTAATACAGAAATGATACAGTCTAACTGTATAGACTTTTCTGTAAAATTACTAAGTTCAAATTTGATACAGAAAAAATACATCTGGAAAAAAATAAGTCCTGAAAAAATACAAAAATAATACACTGAAAATAATCTAAGTCCAAAAAAATACAAAAATAATACACTGAAAATAATCTAAGTCCAAAAAAATACAAAAATAATATACTGTACAAAATCAAAGTCAAATTTTAATACAAAAATGATATACTGAATTTTTTGTGATAGGAAAATAATATATTTTTTCTGTATTATTTTAAGAAAGTACAAAAATGAATGTATTAAAAATATATTAAAAATATACTTTTCTGTATTATTTTTTGATATGGGGGCCATCATCACAATGTGGCTAGCTAGCTCTGCTGTTTTTGTGACCTTCACCTATGCATCCCAATCTTTATCTCTTAAAAATTATTTTCACATACAATTTTTCAAATGGACATTTTGGCTAAGGTTTTCATGTAACTTATTATTCTGGACAATTTTTTACTGGTTAGCCCACAAGACTTAATTAAATTAAAGGAGAATTTACAAATTGTTCACATGAAGGGCCCAGTCCCTTTCCAAGGGGAATATATCAAGAAAAGGCAATAATTGGAAAGAGGTCCTCTGAAAATTATTTTCTTCTTAAGAACCAATGGGACAGAAAAGATTAAACTTGTGTGAAAGCATCCTGAGGAAAAGTAGATTTTAAAAAAAATTGTTCAGGACAAAGATTTCTCTTGTTTTGTGAAATCAGAGTTCTCTTAGAATTAAGAAGCATGCCATGATGTGGTAATTACTTTTCATCGGAGTAAAAAGATCTCTAATATTCTATTGGAGAAAGTTACGTAGGTGAGCATTGTGGCCCATGGGTATCTTGTATTGATGACTAGCTGGAAGGTCAGCTAAGTTTGTTTCTTTTCGTTTAATTGATGTATTATTTTTCTTTGATATAGCCCTTTGATTGAATGTTTTTTTTGTTTTGATAATTCAGTATTTTTTGCCAGGATTTTTTTTTTGCACATTTCACACACTTCACAAGTTGTATTAATTGGACGTCATTGTAAAGAGGAAAAAATGACTAAACTCCAGTATATATTGTATTAGCCCAATAGCTGCTAGTGTTAGGTTACAGGGTGCACATATACATGAATTACATTGTACTAGTTGCTATACTATAGATTGCCATGATAGTCATTAGAGGTGACTTACAGAATGTGTATTCTTAATTATTGTTCTCCCACTTTAGAGATCTATCTCCGGGGTTAATGTCCTTCAGCAATTAATTCTTTGGAGGATTAGATGACACATTATATGTTCACCTTATCTTTGATTGAATATAAACATGATGACCTTGCATGAATCAAGCAATAGCTGTCAATCATGATATCTACTGAAGGCACCCTAACCTAAGTGTACAGGTTGTATGGACATAAAGCAGCATTGTCAGTTTTGAATGATTTCTATCCTGTTTATATTATCAGTAATGTTTTATCCCTCCCCTACCCCTCCCAAATCCCCAAGCATCCCCAATGCCCCCCGCCCCCCTCCCCCCCCCCCCTTCCAAATAAAAAAGGCTGTTTCACTGGAATTCATGTTAATTAAATCAGGATTTCATGTGCAAGAAAGATCTGCAAGTTTGTGACCCTTTTACTACAAATATTAAATGCTTTGAACAATTTTATTCATGATTTTGAATAAATAAATATGGACTGTTTTTGGAGTCACAAGTAATGGCCCAAATATTTCAGATTCACCAACCAAAAGTTTTGATTTCATAAAGGAAAATATACTGAATAGGTCCCTTATTTTACTTGAGTACTTAATATCGCAGAATGACTCACAAATATTAGCTAGATCATAAGAATTTGAATTCATTTGAGAAGTGACGAGAGTTTTTACATGTATTTCAGCAATATAAATATAAACCTAGTATTCATTTTATTTTTTGCACTTTGTGCTTATGTGGTCATAAATTCCATGCATATTTTACATTATATATGTGTGATAGTTATTTTATATCTGACAGTAAATATATTAAAGTATTGCTGAGCAATAGTCCTTGGTTTTGGAGCAACTAATTTGGGGATGGGGGAGGGGGGCAGTTTCGAACATCTATAAGTATAGAGATGCTTTGACACATACAGAAATCTTAAGTTGCTTCAATGCCGGAAATATTTTTTTTTATGACATACTGCAAATATACTTCTAAAAGCAGGTTTCATATTTAAGTTGGAGCAGAAATAAATATGCACTAATTGAAGAATACTGTTGAGAAACCATTAATGAATACAATAAAGAGAGTGGGTATTGTAGCGCTAATTCATCATGAGACCGTCATACCTATTGAGTACCTCAATATACACATAAAGAATACAAGTGCAGATTCAGGATTTTGCATTAGAGGGGGCACAATTAGCTGGTGATGAGCTGAGCAACAATATCATTAAAATCCCTAGTGTTCAAAGACAATGTCTGATATGAGCCTCCATAAGCTCATGTGAACTAGTAATTTTAAAAAAAAAGTTATTTTGACACGAAAATAAAACTGTATCTCAAGTATTTTTCGGCTTAATGAAGAGGGGGTGCACACTTCATTATAACCAGTAATCCCTGTGTGTTTTACAGTATTCAGGATTGTCCCTATAAAGACCCAGAATCCATGGAATAAATCCTTGTCTTTTAGGACAGTCCCCCTGTAATTTTGGTATCCTGGGCCCTCAATGCAAGCTTATTAGCAAAGAAACCCCAGACCCTGTCCCTTCCTATTTCTATTGTTAGGGACTCTCTATAGAAATCAGATATGCTCAAGGATCTTAGTTATGAATTTGCACAATTTCTTTTGTAAATTTCAAGTAAAGTAATTTTTTCAAAGAATGTGAAAGTTGCATTACTTAGACGTTGAAATTGCAGAAGAACATCTTTTATATGATGTAGCATTATCATTACCGTGGTATCTTTTGTTCCGTCATGAATGCACCAGTTACTTGTCAACGAGAATGCTTGTTTTACTTATAAATAGATTTATTAGGCTTTGTTATTGATATAGAGCCCAGAAAATTTTAGGGAGTTGATAGAATTGAACCTGAAGATATCCACTATTGATCTGTTGGTATTTTTAGAGCAGCAGTGCCACTGTTGCTGAGGAGTATAAAGATCGAGAGACAGGGTTCTTTTACAAAGAATGGGAGCTCTAAGACTAAATAAATTAAGCTTCTGACAAAAAGAAAAAAAAAAGTAAAAAAAAACCAACGAAGGAAGTTGTCTCTGTGACCTTGATGAGCTGCCAACTAAGTTTTAGTCTGCAGCCGTCAAAACAAATTTTTTTCGGTGATGTCACTTGAAAACAAGGATTGGAGATTATGTAACATGGAGAAACAAGTGGGCTGATAGGGTTGTGGTCTTGTGTTTTAATGCTCTAGGATCAGAGATAAGGCATATTATATTATTTCTGAAGTCTGTCCATTAAATCAATCTAGGCTTTTAAGTCCTTAGTCGGAAGTGGTAGAGAATGCAGCTAAAAGAGAGGTAGATACACAGTTTTTAACCCTACCAGGGCTACTGATCTCTCTTAGATTTCTCTTTCAGCAGAAGTTGTTTTGTTTTCAAAGGCAAAGAAAAAAAGTAAACTAAGCATTTTGAAATGCATCGTACATGCCCATGATGCTGCCAGAGGAGATTGCACAGAGTTTTGTATACATAGCATTCCTTACAGACTTGGCTGGCTGGTTGAGGGTTAGGCACAGTGAAGATGTGTGCCACTTGTTGAGATAAGGCTCAATGATCTACTTGATGCATGGTGAACTCTCTTAAAAAAGCTTATAAGTTATAAGAACTTTTGTTTTAGTTAAAAATTTTGTAGCAGTTTCAAGTTTTTTGTCTTTACAAAAAGTTTGCATGGTTGTTTAATAAAAGTGTGTACCTGGTAAGATTAAATTTCACTTTTTAAAAAGAAATAGATACTGAATAGATGTATATTAATATACTTTCTTATTCAGTATCAAAAAAAGAAGAAAATTGAATGTTGAGTTTTAAAAAATCATGTATACATATACATGTATACATTCCATTAGAAGGAATTAATTTATACTAAGACTATAACATGGCCTTGACTAACGTCTTTCCCCTGTCTGCAAGTACAAATTGGGTTTGTGAGGCAGTTGTAAGACGTAAATGTTGCAAAATATATCTCTTCAGATGTGTCGGGGAATCATAGGAAAGACGCTGACAGGCAACCTATGTCATTTTTGTACCATGTTTACTCCGGAACAGCTGATGGATGATGGCATTTATTGTGAGGTATAATGATGAACACAAATTAAAGTCATGTTGGCACAGACATTTCAAAACTCATAAAATCCATCATACTCGGTCTGGATAGAATGAACTGCTGTATTATGGCCTGGTGTATTATTGCCACTGTGAAAGGATTCCTGTTGTACCAAAGGTCATGGCCACAAATCACTTAATGTCAGATAGAGTTACCTCCCTTTGGATACTAAATGTAGCCTGTAGTGTTTTTATCTTTACCGAATGATGCAACAGTTTGTAGTTTTATGTTGTTAGCTGATGCAATGTTTACATTTGTAAATAATAGCTACTGGATTGCACATTCGATAGAATTCTGGTCCCTAGAAAATATAGGCCATGTACAAAAATAAATGTAAAGAAATCGATCAAAACAATGACTCATCACTGTATAACTGGGGCCTCTTAGATTAATGATTTGGGTTTATATATATTTTTGCCTGAATCAATCTCATGTTTTCTGCAGTATAGTCAGAACAGATTGGGAGCAATGAAGGACTTAAGATTGGAGGTCAGGCATACTGTATTTTCCGTTAAGAAGGTCACTTTCTACGCAGTCCACTTTGCAGCTTGTTTATAATTTTGTTTATAATGATAAAATGCCTCAAGGGAGAGTTAAAGAGAGGCATTCACAAAGGTGTGTTGTTTACAAAATAAAATGAAATTTTTTATGTGCCACGGGTTAACATGGAGGGCAGAGGGGGCATATTGTAATTTCTGCCTGAAAAAGTTTGAATAATGATTTCTGCACATTACACCGACACAAACTATTTATTACTTTTTTTGACCCAGCGTTTCATGAAGATTGGTAAATATACAAACAGATTTAGCTCAGGAGAGGGTGAAGAATTGTTTTAATAAGATGAAGGTGATGAAATAATTTATACACACCATGAAACATGTGGTATATATATTCTTGATGTGTCTTCATCAGAGATAATTTACTGCAGGTTGCAGATTATCTGACTTGCATGTGAATCAGCTTTGTGCATGTATAAATGTAGGAGCTTCTGATGCTGTTCTCTTAACATGGCAAGTCAGCTCTGACAACAGGTACTTTTGCCTCCTTGTCCAGCTGATATAAGATTTTTAGATTGAACATAACAAGGGCCATATAGATTAAGGTTATTTTAAGTTTTTTTCTATGTCTAATGTCTCTGTGTACCTTAATTGGTTTTTGACACCCGGCCCATTTCAGAAAAAAACCCAAACAGAATCAGGAGTCCTAAAATTGTTTATTCTGGTCAAAATCTTTGGATAGTGTGTCAGTTTTTCTATACATGTATAATTCTCTGCAATATGTCATAATTAAGGAATATATTGAGCATTTAATACCTTGATTTTGCTGAGGAAAAGATCCTTATGCAAGAAAAATAGATAAATGAAATGAAATCCTTTGAACAAATGTTGCAAACATTTAGTTTACTGAAATACCATTTTGATCTGGTTTACTCTTGTATACACCTGTTACATTGAACAACATTCAGCCCAATGAATTTTTAAAGATTTTAAAGGTACATAATTGTTTTCAACAGAGTTTGTTTAAAAAGGTGACATTGCTTTTTTTATATATTAACTAAAAATAGTTTTATTTGTGGATATGTAAAGAACTTCCTACTACAAGCTGACAATTAAAACAAATGCCAACTCATAAATTGAGGTGGAGAAAACTTTTAATTTGTCATCACCAGTTGACTCCTTTTATTTATGTCATGTAATTTTGAAGTTCATTTTCATATTACATCAAAATAATAAACAGTAATCAAGCCCCCAAAATTGCTTAGGGGCAGAGCTAACACAGATCTCCAAATTTTTGTTTTCTTTTTTTTTTTTTTTTTTAGAAATTTCATTACTGTTGCCTATGTGGTGCAGTGGTTTGAATGTTTGTTCCAGTGTTGTGCAGTTTGAATCCCTCTGCAGAACTGGGACTACTAGGTTCCTTGTCACAGTGGGTGCTGGCACGAAAAAAATCCCTCACTGCTCAATGGTTCTCAGTGTGGAATATGGGTCTAGATTTGCAGTCCTCCACCAGCAAGTGGTGGCTTCTCAATAGGAGTGTAAAATTCGGGAAAGAGACTTTAAACAACATACAAACATAATCTATTTACTACGTGCTATACTGTATTGTATTGTGCCAATTTTTGACTCCAAAGACAACAATTATACAACTACAACTTGCTTACATGTTATATAAACATTTTGGTAATAAGAAGTATTATTTCAGCTTACTGGGGTGTTGGTGCCTTTCATTAAGGAAATGTGTCATAACACAAGAAAATAATGACACCTCCCTGCAGGTGGTTTGTTCATTAATTGACTTGATTCTTTAATCTTTTTAATAAAGGCTTGTTTATATCAGGACCTGTAGGCAGCTTGAAGCACCCCCAGAACAAAACTATTGATTTTGTGACATAAGGCCCTTTGATAAAGTGTTATTAGAGGTTTGTTTATGTTATTGAGACCCAAGACAAACCCATGATTATATAGTGGAGGACTTTTCCTGTCTATAAAGAGATGGATCCCAAATGTTTTTGTCCATAGAACTGTAGGGCGTAGAGATTGTCTTGCCAGTGGGGTATATTTGATTAATAAATCCCAGCTTATCCAGCTGCATGGGAAAAATACATGATTGTCAAGATAACAGTATTAGTTTATTTCTTATAGTAAAGTTTGTAAATCAAGATTGTGTATTCCAGTTTGTTGAACTTTGAAAAGAGAGAAATTACACTCCAAAAAATAATAATATCTACCAATACATGTTTATAATTAGTAATTTCATGTCAACAATTTGCTAAAAGACTTCCAAAATCAGCTTTACAAAAATGGATTTACAATGAATTATATAAGCTCCGTTTACATGCCGAAATATACAAGGATCAGTAAATTTACTCATATGCAAAAGTAAATTTGCATCTTGTCTTGAGTAGGTGCAAATTTACAATGGTTGTCTATTTGCACAAATGTATTTTTACTTTTGCAAATATGCAATTGTGTTCACATTTACACGGGTGTCCAGATCAATTTTGCATGCATGCAAAATTTATCAACGAATGTGAATGGAATTCAGTCATGCAATTATAGACTTTTGATTATGGATCTGAATTCAAATTGCTAGATGTAGAACTATGCACATGTTTTAGAAGAGAAACATACTGGGCACAAATTCTGCATTATTCGCTTGAGTGAAAAATATTTGTGTAATTTGGAGACTGAACAAATTTTACAGGTATCTGAGGCTTCCATCATTGGAAAGAAAAAAAAATCGCCTGTTAATTAATTAGCCAGTGTGCCTTTGGTGTCCTGTTATAATGTGATATATGTCTTAATTTGCACCCTTTATTTTCATTAACACCTTCTTTAATTTTTCACAGGATATATGAGAGTTAAATTACAAGAAAGTAATGAATTTGTCTCACATAAAACAAACCTAATTAATAAAATCTTGGAAGATGTTAATAAAGTGTAATGAATATTATGTAATGTTCCCTTCAAGGAAGACCAATCTAAGTGCAGGGAACTGTGACAGGTCATTAATTGACTGGTGTTTCTTTGGTATAGAGAAAAGTTATATAACTTTAGAGATGAGATTTTTGTATCTTTATGGAAGACATTAAGTGGAAAAATCTTCCTCATGTATGTAATTAATTCACCCCAGCTAATCTATACTGTCAAGCTGAATAAATATTTCTTGCTTTGGTAGATGGCGATTGTAAAGGAAAGGCATGAGAACTGAACTCACTGGAGAGACACCATGAGGGGAGGATTTGATGGGTGATGATGTAACATTACCACCATTCTTAACTCCACCAAAAGAAGAGCCAGCTGGAGATCTAACCATTAAGGGGTAATGACCCATGTACTAGAGAGATAAGGGTGACAACTCTGCATGCATCATTAATGGACCCACTTTGCACCTCCCTACATTGAAGATTTCCATTACTGATAGAATAACTCTGACTATAGGCTAATTATTAGGACTTGATGGGCTTTGGACCAAAAGTGAGAAAAACAACAAGTTATTATTGAAACACTCTTTGATGTTTCTTTTTAAATTACAATCTACAGGTATTAATTTTACTTAAAGACTTGGGTATGAAAAAAAGCAATAGATCATTTAAAAGGCTACCTATCATGCTGCATACTGTTTAGTTTTCACTAAAGCTCTGTTTGCCTTTTCGCATGAGGTAAAATAAAACTAGAGGTACTGTGAGCGATGAGCTCACTAAATGATATCCCCCGCCTCCCATATGGTTATAACTGGTGAAAAAGTCCATGTTTTCCTGTGGCCGGGAAACCCAAAATATGTGTCGGATCAAAAAGTAAAATAGGAGGTGCACAATGGCAATATGTAATAAAGATTCTGTGAAAGTTTCATCAAATTTCATTCAGTGGTATGAGAGGAGTTGCGGATAAGAGATGGGTACCCCAAAGCGTAACAGACGGACGGACAGACGGACGTACAGACGGACGGACGGACGGAATTAACGATTACTATATACCCTCCCGCTTTTCAAGCGGGGGGTATAATAATAAAGCGAAATAGTAGGCCCAGAAAAGTCTAGACCAGGCTTTCTTTTAATCTTTCATAGGGTGCAGTGAATAGTAGGCATAGTGCACCATGTTTGTCTAATTTCTTAATTTGGATGTTCTGAAAATATAATTTATCATTGTCAAACAGGAGTATTGCATGAAATCCTGACAAGTTTTCCTGTTGATGATTATACCAGCCAGTAAATATTGTTAGGAGGTGAAGGTCCTATGTATATAATGCTCTGTCCGTCACTCTTGTATTTATCTTTTAACCTAACTGTCACTCATTCTACCACTCGGAGCTGAAAAGTGACGAAACTAATAATGCTTCATTTGAATAATTGAATTTGTATATCCTACATGTGTGGAGAGCATTAGAAGAGGCCAAATTTCAATAGTATTTATTGATGGGTCATTAATTGACAAGGGAGAAATCTATTTTGTATTGGACATGGGGTCCTGATGTTATACTAGCAGAGAGGTTGTGCACAAAAGGCAAGATCAGAGTAAAAAGACATGAGAAGCTATGTGATGTGCATGCCAATAAATTTGATTAGGAATTTTCTTCATTCTTAATGTATGAAGAGATAGCAAGCCTTTCAGGGAAGGGAGCATTATATTCATAGTTTGAGATAAATAATAAAAAAATGTATTTAATATGTTAATTTACATGTTAAAACTTTGTCCTCATATTCAATTAATTTGGTGACACTGAGTTTCTAGCTGCTTTAGGTCAAATGACCATCAAAAATATAGTGACGTGCGTATGTGCTTTGAGATTTGAATGCTTATGTTTATTGATTTAAGGCAGATTTTAATAAATTTGTGTAAGGAAAATGCCACTTATCAAAAATAACCCAGAGTCTGTCTGAGAGGCCAACACCCCTATCAGTGTTTGTTAGTGCATATTAACTTGTAGAGATCTTTTATGGGCCATCTTCACATATATAAATTTTATGGATTTAAACTTCTTCCCAGTTTTAAGCATTATATGTCAGAATTTTGAAAAATAAATGCTATAAATTTTTTCATTATTACAGTTTTTAGCAGTATGTTTAAAGATAGGCAATTTGATTTATGTATAGTTCTGTTTTTTGTAGAGGAACTTTGGTATTTGGAAGTTCGATCTTGTATATTCCATGGGTATATTTCAAACTGATCTGGAAGTCTCAACCGGTAATTCTTTATTATGCATTTTACCCCAACATCTTGAGTCCTTGGATACAGTAAATCACTTTTTATTCGCGAGAAATTTATTTTCGTGTAATTACGCGAAACGAAATGCTCGCGAAAATTTCATTCTCGCGTATTATAGAATTCCTTAAGATTATATAGAGCAATGACCACAATGCGTGAAAATTTTGTCTCGCTAATAAAGAGTCAATGGCTATCTCGCGAAAATAAGGTGTCGCAAAAATTAAGTGATCTACAGTATATCTCACATTTTTTTTTTGCAGTCATATCAAGTTAAAGATAACAAGATTTAACCATAGTTGAAGATCAATCTCTCTCTTACCCCCCCCCCCCCCCCCCCCCCCCCCAAAAAAAAAAATGGATAAAATTTTTTACTGGTTTTTCTATTTTCTGTAAGTATTCATATACATCACAAATACGGTACATAAATGAATATTGATAAATTACGGAAAATCTTCCATTGATAGATGGTGCCAGTTACAGATCGTTCCCACACCTCCCTGTATTTGAGTGCAGTGTAGTAAATCTACCAACTGTCTCCTCTTATTCTTATTATCAGTCAGATCCAGAGAAAAAAAAGATAACGGCCTGTCAAAAAGATAGAAATCTAGCAGTCATTAAAGAGATGACCTTAATGTGCAGCGTTAACTTCTGTGCACACTTCATGAACCCTATAGTCTTTTGTGCAGTTTTACATGCACATTCAGCAAATGCAGTTTTATTGCTAGTGGAACAGAATTTTAATTAGTTTGATCGATCTTTTCTTTTAATAGTCTCTCAAGTCTGTCTTTTGTCTTGAGTTTTCATAAAAACGGCTTTCTGATGCATACAGGAATGCATTTAAGTTTTCTTTAGGTGCATGTTAAGAAGATATGCAGATGCACTCTGATATGCAGTATCTAAGTATGATCTACTTTGTGGTTTATAGAAATGTGTAGCAAGTAACAACATTTTGCCCTCTAGGCTACTAAACTGTATCTATTTAAAGACTTAGCCAATATTTGAAGATTTAATTTTCTTCTTCAACTTAAATCGAGGGGAAAGTGAGTTGTAAACTGAGTTTGACACATGATATGATCATAGAATAATAGCCTAAAAAGGAGGAAAAATGCACAAGCCTCATTAAACACTACATTGCATCAGACAACGAAAGTGTGTGAAATCGAGATTCCAGATAACCATTTAAGAATTTGTAAAATCTATTGTCTAAATATTTTTTGTACTTTGCATGTACCATAGGGTCACTTTCTAGGTCGTGGGCCCTTTGTAATCTGTGTAATTCTATGAACTTTGTGGACACAGTGTAAGGTGATTGTGTGGAGGCTAAGGCCCTCAGAACTCCAATCAAATATCAGGAATCAATCACAAGTAAATGGAATGCTACCAGATAGCATTAAAAGTCCCTTTATTCTCTTTACTTTGTGGTTTGAGGGATTCTCTTGAATTCCTTTGTATTTTTTTCCTGCACACAAATTACTTGGAGCAGAAAATAAGTGAAATGCATTGAGCACTTGATTTTTGATGATTCAGTCAAATCTTCCATTTCTTGATTTGCGATTTCTTTTTTGTTTTGCTGCCAATGAAGTGGAAACGTGGTTTTACTCTCATTACTAAATTACCAATTAAATGAAGACTAATAAAGTGTTTGTTGAACAGAAAAAGGTCACAATTCAATGAAACCCTCACAATGTGACAGATCGCAAGTAGGATGACAATTACATCTTATGCAAGAGAGATCTTAAACAAAAAAGACAAATGTTAAGTTGATCTTGTTGCAAAGAAAGGTTCTTTTATTATTGCCAATTTGCTTGAAGGACTGAACTGAATGCAATGAAAATGAGACAACTTCTCGGGATTGGCTGTGATGAGTTGTTTAAACTTGTTCGTCAAGGGCCACGTGTCCATCAGTTTCTATCTTTTCGACTTTTGGTGACCTTTTGCTAAAATTAGTAGTTTCATTTCCTTGTATTTCTGGCTAAAACTGACATCCACTGCCTTGACAGGCAAGATCAAATGCGCTCGAGCTGATGCATATTTTGTCAATTCCAAAGTTCCTCTAATGTAAATATTTTGTTCTTATGTGCCTTGTGTCCTGTTTTGTTTATAAGGTAATAAATATGAAAGGCAATTAAGGTATTGATAAGTTGTTTGAATTATTAATTAATTGGTACGTAATCCTCCCAAGAGTGTTCTGGGCTATGAACTAGATCCACTGTGTTAGATGAGTTGGTGTCTATATGTCACAAGAAAAGGTAATTAAGTACTCTAATAGGTAAAAATACTACCAAGTTATTTTATTATGATGTGTACCACGTACGGACTTAAAAAAGTATAATATGTATCCTGATATTGCCTTCACCCACATATCTTGATTTCACCCGCATATCGAGAGTTGCCGGCATGTCACAGTGGTAAGAGCATCTGTTCAAGAGTTGGAAGTAAGGAGTTGATCCACATGTTGCGGGTTCGAATCCCACCGTGGGATGTGGAGACAGTATAAACCGAGGTTCTGTGTTGCAGTTGGTGCTGGCACAAAAAATATCCCTCACTGCTCAATGGCCGTAAGTGCCGAGTATAGGACAAAATTTGCAGTTCAGCTCCAACAGCAAGTGGTGGTGTGCCCATATGAGTAAAAAAAAATCTCGAGAGGGACGTTAAACAACATACAATCAATCAATCACATGTCTTAATTGACTCTAAAATCATTATTGTTGACATTTTACATTTTAGTTGCTTTCTCAACAACACAGAATGTTATGATTTTCATGTTTTTTTAGGGCCTCACTTTGTGGGTACATTATATTGACTCAGTCTGTCTGTCCGTCCATCTGATTGCTTAATTGTTTTATTGGAGCATATTTTCTCTTTCCTTGGGCTGCCAATGGATTCAAAGTTCACGCATTGACAGAGTTTCTATTTTTAGAGGGTGTGCAATGTCCTTCAGCCAAGTTTCCAAGTTAGTCAAAGGTCAAGGTTATAAGAAGTCTGTTAAATTCTTTTATTGAGCATTTTTTCTCCCATTGGCGCTATCTCTGAAGGTCGTAAGAAAAAGTGCCTTCCATCATGTCTTTTGTCAAAAGTGCATAAAAGGGCCCTTTGAGATATTCCCATCTTAACAAATTCTAGTTTATTTTTAGCAGCAAGATGCAGGTAAATGTATAATTGTCGTGTTAAACATTTTCTTTATGAAATAAAAAATCCAATCTAGTCTAATGATAATCTCTACATTCTGTCAAATCTGCAAGAAAAATTTAACTTACATGAAAAAAACATAAAACCTATAATGTAGTTGAAATTGGTTAGAAAAGAAGAGATCAAATTTGTTTTAAAGTCGATACAAGATGTGTTTCAATTGATCAAATTTGGAATAGGTGGTTTGAGGATTAAAGTTCTCTGTAGAATGTTCAAAGTTGGCTTTTGATCTGCAGATGGGATTTGTTTGTCGTTATAATAACATAAAATACCTACTATTGTCATATGCTGTTTGTCAAAGATTGTAACTACAGTAAATTGGCCATATCGCATTTCAACCACAGAGTATTAGAGGTATTGTGTACCACGCAATCATTGTAAGTTATTTTGAACTAACATTTGGATTTTATTTGTCTGACAAAACAAAACTGTTTGAATCATAGGACCATTCAAGACTTGGATAAATTGTCCAAAATCAGTTTGCAAGGAGAGTTGAATTTGAGTCATGGGAATGTTAAATTGGTCATTTATAAACAATTGGCAGTTAATTTGTAATGTGAGGTTATCGTTGACTATCTTGACCCTGTCACATTTTGTGTTGACGCAGCACAATTTTAACTGATAAAGTTTCAAGGGAGATGTCAACACCTCTGAATTAAAGTTTTTCTAGGGTTGGAATAGATTTAAAAGTCCTTGTGATATATGTGAAAATCTTGTGACATGGCTAAAGGCACTATTGAACTTTATTAAAGTAAACCCATGTCCTCTTATCAGTAAGAATAATTAAACCACTTTGATGTGTAATGAGATAAAACTGATTCGGTTGGTTGTTTTTACGATGGATCTTTGGAGCACACATGACTAAAAATATTTCTATTGGCAGGACAAAGAATCAAATTCTAAATATACGACTGTTTTAAAAAGATTAAGTATAGCATTTCCTCTGAGACCCAAAGAAAGGAAGTATTTGTTTTAAGCAAAGTATCTTTACTCAAAGTCAGTAGGGATTAAAGGCGAATGTCGGTTAAGAAAATTTGGCTCCCATCTCATGCAACAAGGGTCATGGGCATGAGGTGAACATTTGTTCTATGGGTTTACATATTCAGAGGCCAAGATTTTTATCAAATCAACTTCAAACACATGTCTGATGGAACATGGAGCCCATACAGCCTTTATAAATTTGTATTGGTTTGTTCAGGTTTTATGGTCAGCTCCATTATGAACGTATATAAAGGTGAATTGCGCAAACTTGCTTGGTATTTAAACTCTGCTCTCTTTCATACTCTTATTAATGTTTTTTTGGGAGAATTAAACACTGAGAGCTCGCAAAGTTTATAAAACAATAAATATAGAGACCAGTAGCTGAACTTCTGATGGACAAAAAAAGCTATAGGGAAAGACTAGATGTTTATCTTGGCCAGCTCCCCATTTGTTCATAGCGAACGTCTTGAACGGTGTGTTTAAAAAATGCAAATCTCAGCAATACATAATTAGGCTTTCTATCTGTTTCAATCTCTCTCTCTCTCTCTCTCTCTCTTACATACACAATTTTGGTTTTATCAACATTTTGTGTAAAATTTTGTTTTTCCAAGTTTAACCAAGTCGAAATATTTGAATGGCGAGATTCATACCTCTATGTACTGTTGCTAACTACATTTGTTTAATAGTTTGATATAAAAGATACACAAATCATATTTTCTATGTTACATAAACAGCATTCAAGTTTCATTAGCAAACGCATGCAAAGGTTTCTGACTAGAAAGCACATAAATCTTAATAGCTTTAAGTGAATTAGTGGATTTGTTAGGTGTAAGAAAACACAATTGCCTTCGTATCTTTTATTGTGGTTTTGTTTGCACAGGTAATTGCGGATAAGATTTGATTTACCTGGAGTTCTAATTTTAAAGCTCCTCTCCTTGACATAGCCGAATTGTGCACACTAGGTGTGAGGTTACAACTGAATGCAAGAGTAATGTTCACAGTTGTGAGAGATTACTTTTTTAATGCAAGTATGAAATTGGAGCACTATCTAGTATCTAATTTAATAACGTACATCACTTCTGGAAAAAAGGAATTTAAGGCACCAATTGTAAATTAATTTCAAGGGCAAATTTCATATATATACTAAAAGGGACTTGAAATGTGTTTGATTTAAGTTGTAAAGAAAAACTCAACTATTAATATACTCTGTGTATAAATAAAATATGCTGCATTAAATAACTACACAGCAAGCAAGAATGCTTTTACGATAGGGCTACGAAGTTTTTGATCTTTTCTGAAAAAAAAACTTGGTTGGAAGAATTTTTTTTATTGGAGGAAAAGAAAATGTGCTCACTAAGAACTCCTTATAGCTATCTCTGTCTCAACATTGGCTGAAAAGTTTGGAATTCCAGCGGAGTTGTCTTTGAATGTTTTCGTGGAATTCATTAAATTGTTATAGAATCTTTTTTTGTAGCTATGTAAATTTGAGAATACAAACAACCTGTTGTTCTTCATGCTGGTGCACATTGCAAGACTTTTTGTGATTTTTTTACTGTGCATGTATGCAGGCATGCATCATTGTCGAAAAGAGTAAGCAGATTGGAAATTGATTCACTAAGATTATGCAAGACTTAAGTAGACTAAAGTTTTCTATGTACACAATACCCATGTCTCGCTATTCATGTAAAGTGTGATATTTTTTGTTTACACCAACAATTTTTAAGAAGTAAATTCCTTTGACGTATGTGTGTGTGTGTTTAGAAGAGGTAAATAAATCAAACAGGCTGTGACCTGGAAAGCATTTTAACTGTATGTATACAGGCTTTACCTAGTTGGGTCACCAAGTTGAAAATCTATCGGTCATTTTGCACGAGTTCTTGATTTATAAGGTGTGTTGATCAGTAATCTAGGGGGTCTTAAGGCGTCCAAATAGTGATGATCTTGAGCATTAATAATTAAAAGTACTAGTACTTACTACTTATAGTAGGATAAGAAAGAGTCTTTGGTTACTAATTCTAAACCATTTGTTGTTAGCAGCACATCATGCTGTACATATATTGAATTGAAGAAAATCTCATGTAATTGAAACGTGGTGGTAGTTGAAGGGAATGGATGTCTTCAATTTATGGGGAAAAAATGCTATGGGGGGAAAAATCACAAAAAATATTGGCAAAATCGACAAAGGTGAAGACTGAAACTTACCAGCTGTTAGCTACTAGGTAACCTAGGGGTACAGCTGGTCTGTCCTTCACATTTAATTTTTATATTGCAGGAGTAAAAAATTTAATCATTAGTAAGAAAGTACTAGTAGCTGGGTTTTTTTCTTCAAAAGAATTTTTGATATTATTATTTAATAGCATGTGTATTATTGAACTTAATTCTGGAATCAACTAAATTTTGCAAATTCTATGAGGGATATTCTGTTTCATAATGTCTGTTTCTTTTTAATTCAAACTGTTTTGCATACATAATGAAAATCAATTCAATAATAATCGCTTTAAGAGATGATTGGCATGAAGCACTTATAAAAAATTACTTATTTACATACTAAGAGATATGAACATTTTATGCCTCACCGAAGTCAAATATGATCCCATAAACATGATAATGGTAGCGTGGACATTTATCAAAGTGGAGGCAATTTTAGCGACCCAGTACTTGGTTGTCAAAGGTAAACAACAATAAGCATAAACATTCCTCATGTTTACAACAGTAGATTTCCCATTGATTTATGTAGAATAACAAAAACAGGGCTTAATTGTGTGGAAGAGTCATATGTGAATTCATTGACCAACATTCCATGATGAGTGTATGTAAAGGTCGTTCCCATTGGTTAAGACAGAATGGAGGGAGGGGAAGAATGGTGTTTTGTTTACATCATTGGAACCCCCCTATAGTGATACATGTACTTCTGAAAGCTGTTGTTACCATGTTTACTCCCACACTTCTGTTTGCTTCATCTAGATAATTGCTTGTCTTTTGCTACCAGCATGTTCACTTGATTGCATTGAGAGAGAGAGAGAGAAAGAGAGAGAGAGAAGCTATCAATTGCTTGTCCTTTGCTACCAGCATGTTCTCTTGGTTGCATTGAGAGAGAGAGAAAGAGGGAGAGAGAGAGAGAGAGAAGCTATCAATTTATTAAATTACATGTATTGATTTTTATAGGACATGAATTGGCCAGAGGTGGAACACAACTTGCCCAGCTTTGTCCACAGACCCACAAAATGAGGCCTTATTGGAAATCCATTCATCTCCTCTAATCAGCATGGTACAGATAAAGCTCCAAATGATTATGCAGGTAATTTTGGAAACAAAGCTCTTCCATTAGTCTCCTTGGCTGCATCTGACCCCCAGGCATTTTTTCTGTCCTGCTTTCAGAGATGGACATCTGGTCCAAACCAGGAAACAACTTTACATCCCCATTGTTCAAAAGAAGAGGATTGATATAAAATACGGGGAATTGCTAAACCTAACGTGATATATCATTCAAGCATGTATATATTGAAATGGCTTACATTAAAATTCTACTTTTGTTTTTTTAAGCAATTGAAATTTTTGGTTTCTGTTGAGATTGAACAAGTGCAGAACAAATTGTTTTGGTAAGTTTTTAACGTCAGCTTATCATTTTGGAGATCCTTTTGAAAAATGACTGGTTTATCTATTTAATGAAACCGATGCAAATAAACAAATGTTTGAAGCTTCAGAAAACCTAATTATATCCTTATCTTTCTAAAAATAAGGTTAGGGAATTAGTGCTACGGGAGTCTGCATCATGTTTATGCTACAACAAAATTGTTTGGAAAACATTTGGTCAGGGCTAATCATAGAGTGCAAGTAAACATCAGATACTAAGGCTTATAGCATCAAGGAATAACTTCAATAGATCTAATTCCTGGAACATATTACCCTTCACGGCTTAACTCTAGTGTCAACATGCATTTCATACAGACCCTGTATAAGGGGGAATTCTGTATATGCTTTGATAAGGCTGAAGAAAGATTCCTTCCCTTTGGTTTTGTTGTGAACAAGTTGCCTCCTTTGTTAGATAGTGGTATCAGTTGCTGTTTTTGTTTACAGTATATTGGCAGTATGAAGATTAAATACCTTATGGACCGAAGACTACAGAAAAACTGGCTATCAAGATAATCTTGTTTCTTTTGGAAGGATTACACTGAAATGGGTGTCACAGTATTATTTAGATACACAGATTTTGTTTTTTTCTTCCATCCATCCTCTATTGTATGGTGCTGATGCACTTGAAAACTTCACCTACAAGCCCTGCATGGTCTAGCTCTTCATAAGAAAATTTGGAAATATCGGGAAAGAATGAATCCTTTGTCACATGGATGAGTTTTCCTGTCACTGTTAAGATTTGTGTTTATTTTTAACAAAGGCACACATTTTATGACCATTTTAAGTAGGGGAATTATTTGATCAATTTCAATTCAATTCTTTATTCGCTCAAAACCAGATCACTGGTACAAGAGGTACATATATACATATATACAAGCAAAAAAATATTACAGTCAAGGGTCAAGAGATAGACAAGTACATTGAATATATAGAAACTCGAAAAGAGTGAAAAAAAAAAAAAAAGACTGTAGTCATCTATAAAAAACACACGGAGGAATCAAGAAGGACAGACAGTTTTAAAAATTTTCTTTATAAATAGTGATAATGATTTTTGTATCTCTGCATTATTACTACTCATTAGTTCATTGAATTTGAAAGTGTTGGGATTATTACAAAATCTGTTTGGGAAAAATATTTCTCTGTCTTTTGAAAAGTACTTACATTCCATAATATAGTGATATTCATCACCAACAGTTTTAAAATCACACATAGTACATATTCTTAAATTTCTGTCAATATTATGCCATCTACCCTTTTCAATTGGCAAATGGTGATTACAAGTTCGAAGTTTTGTAAATGTAACTCTTAAATCTTTTGGTAAATTCATCAGATAGTTTTCTAAACCAAAATCTGTTTTAAAAATTCTATAATTAATACACTTGGATGAACTATAAACAATGCTTCTCCATTCTTGTTCGAATTGACATTTTAGGGTATCTTTAATGATTGACTTAAGCCAATTATAACTAATAAATGATTGACTTGTCCATACATAGGACAATCCACAAGAATTAAGTACGTCTTGTACACATTTTATCCATGGATGTACAAACGACCCATCATTATAACATCTATAAAAATATGAATAAATAACTTTTGTAAGCTTACTTTCGTGAGCTGTTAAAATTTTTGCCCAGTACATAACTATTCTTAATTTTATAAATGTAGACAGAGGGTATCTACCTGTTTCTCCATACACCATACAATTCGGAGTACTAGATTTAAGATTAAGAATAAATTTCAAAAATTTCAAGTGAACTTTTTCTATTATGTCTAAATTTTCGTATCCCCATACTTCACACGAATAAAGTAAAATTGGGTTGATGACTTTATCAAACAAATCTAACTGACAATTAATTGGTAAATTAAAATATCGAATTTTACGTAAGACTCCATACATTGCTTTTGATGCTTGTTGGGTTAAATGTTTTTTTGCATTGTTAAACTTCCCACTTCTTGACAGGAATAAACCCAGATAACAGAATTCTTTAACATTTTCAATAGCTACACCGTTATATAAAAATTTACGCTTTGTCATTGGACCTTTAGAAAAAATAAGGACTTTTGTTTTGGCTATGTTAACACGGAGTTTCCATACATCACAGTATTCAGCAAAAACATCAAGTGACTTTTGTAAATCAGAAGCAGATTCAGACATTAAGACCGTATCATCGGCATAAAAAAGTATACACAGTTTTAACATAACAAACATATCATCTTGCGTTTGTTGACTAGGACATGTAAAACCATTAATTTGATTTCTTGTTAAATAATCTTCTAGGTCATTAATGAACAATGAAAATAAAAAGGGTGATAAATTTTCCCCTTGTCTAACACCAACATTACACATAAAAAAGTCTGATAACTGATGACCTATTTGTACTTTTGACTTAATACCATTATACATATTTCTAATAAATCTAAAACATTTTCCATCAATACCACTTTGTAGAATTTTAGTGGTTTGAACATATTTTATTGTATAAATACTATACAAATGGTTTGAACACAAGTTCTAACAACTTACTAGGTTCTCACCATACAACTGTCAATATATATACATAGGGAAAATAAGTGAAAAGGAATATTGATGTACAAACAAGTTTGTTAAATTGAAACATACATTTGTTACATAATTATGATAAATATATAATTATATAGATATATAGAGTGTAAGTGTTAGGCAGTAATAGTTAATTAAATCTACCAGAATCTCTTATAAATTTATGAACTGACTGAAAAATATATTTATTGATTTCTACATTTTGTGACTCATCTCCCCACAGAAGTAAATGACAATCAATAATGTTCAATTTGATATTTGGTTTCGTAAGACACAGTAAATCTCTGAATAGCTTTTCTCTAGCATATTGGTACTTATTGCAGACAAAGAAAAAATGATATGGGTCTTCTGGTGTACCACATGAACAGTTAGGACTCTCGATAATGTTTCTTCTATAAAGATCATAATTTAAAATGCAATTGTGTCGTAGTTTAGTATGTATGATATTAAGTCGTCTATTACCATGGGAGAAATAAGAAGGGGGGTCTGCTGGTTTTTTATGTATGTTATTTTTAAAGCTGCTAAAAGATATGCTGTTTCTAGTGGTGATACTCAGACTATTCCATTGGTTTATTGTATCAGGAACAAAAGATTTCTTGAATATTTCAAGTCTACATCTAGGAATAGTGTAGTCCTCTCTATTGCGTGTATCGTACTTTGATTCATTACGTCTTGTTGCGGGAAAAATACTTTTTAAATAATCGGGTACTAAGTTATGATGTACCTTGTACATAGTATTAAGTTTTGCTACTTTTCGCCTATCTGCAAGAGGTTCCCATCCTGTTTCTAAATATAATGCATCTCTTGAAGCGATAATTGGTAACCCTGTAATAATTCTTGCAGCATAAAGCTGTACCATTTCTAATCGTTCAACATCTTGTAAAGAACACCCGTCCCAAACTATAGAACAATATTCAAGTAGCGGTCTAATGAATGTTATGTACATTTTAGATAAAGTTTTTCTACCGATATTGTATTTCAGCTTTTTTAAAAGACCTAGTCTTTGGTAAGCCTGTTTAACTATATTGTCTATATGATCAGACCAATTAAGATTTTGGCTCAAAAGTAAACCCAAATGCTTATGAGAGGTTATGTATTCTAGATTACATCGTTGAAATTGTAATTTTGGGAGATAATAATTGGATTTTAATGTAAAGAATAATGCTTTCGTTTTAGATGGGTTAAATTTCATAAGCCATTTGGAAGACCACTTGTCAAGAATATCTAAATCATGATTTAAAGTATATTCAATAGTTGCAACATTATAAGAGGAACTTTGCAACGAGTTGTCATCTGCAAACAATCTACACAATGAAATCATGTTTTCTGATACATCATTCACATAAATCAAAAAAAGTAAAGGACCAAGAACAGATCCTTGTGGTACACCAGCGTTAATGTTTCTGTTAGACGAAAAAATATCTTTGTACATAACTTTCTGTCTTCTATTACATAGATAACTCTCAATCCAGGTAAGAATATTTCCACATAATCCATAAGTTTTTAATTTAAAAAGTAAACCCTTATGCCATACTCTGTCGAAAGCCTTAGACAGATCACAAAATACCATGCAACAAAATTTTCCTTCGTCGATATTCTTAATTATAGTGTGATAAGTTTCAAGTAGTTGGTAAACGGTTGAGTGACCTGGCAAAAAGCCTGCTTGAAATTTGTAGAATAAATTATTCTGATGAAAGTAATTGTACACATGTTTAAAAACAATTCGTTCCTTAATTTAGAATTTTAGTCCACAGACCATGTCTCCATACCGTATCAAAGGCTTGCTTAAAATCTATAAAGGCACAAAATAATTTCTTTTTATTATTCAGGGCATATTTACTCAAAAAATCAATCACAAATATATTATCAGTAGTAGAATAACCTTTCCTAAATCCTGTTTGAGATTCATTGATTAGCTCCACTTCATCAGCAAAAGTATTTAAACGGTCACAAAGTATACTAGTAAAAAGTTTTCCTAAACAACTAAGTAAAGTAATTGGTCTGTAATTTTCAGGTTGGCTTCTATCACCTTTACCTTTATAAATAGGTTTAACTAATCCTACTAACCAGTCCTCTGGTATTATGCCACTATCAAAGATAAC